AGGAGGAGAAAGGCCAGGGAGCTAGCTCAGTAGAATAAGCGCTTTCCTGGTAAGTGCAAGGTCCTGAGTTCAATCCCTGGTACCGGAAAAAAGAAGAAAAAGAAAGAAAGAGACCAAATAAAAAGTGTACATGCAGCTTGGTTCTATCTATAGAAAGCACAAACTAGGAAGTAGAAGGCAGGGTGATAGAAAAAAGAAAGAAAGAAAGAAAGAAAGAAAGAAAGAACAAACTAATTTATACCAGCAGAAAGCAAATCAACTCTTTCCTGGGGATGGGGATGGAGGTGAAAAGGAGAAATTACAAAGAGGTATGAAGAATTTTTGAGGATTTTCAAAGGGGCATGAGGAAATATTTGGATACATTCATTATTTTGATTGGGTGGTGGTTACTTAGGCTATACGTAAGTTAAAATCCATCACATCACATACTTTAGGCACTCTGGGAGCCTAAGGAAGGAGGGTTGCAAGTTCAACCTATCCTGGGCAATCAAGTGACTTTGGAGACTGTCTCAAAATTAAACAAAAGTGCCAGACATGGTGGCGCATGCCTGGAATCTAAGCCCTTGGAGGCTGGGGTAGAAGGATTGTTTCAAGTATGAGACCAGCCTGGGCTACAAAGTGAGTTCAAGACCAGCCTGGACTGCGTGAGACCCTGTCTCAAAAAGACCAAAAAAATTAAACAAATGGATGAATAAATAAATAAGGGCTTGGGATGTACCTTGATATGAAAGCCCTGAGTTCAATATAGAACCAAGAGTGTACACTTTAAATATGTGTCTTTTTGTGTGTGTTAATAATAATACTTCAATAAAGCTATTTTTGAATACCTTTAATATGGTACTCAAAAAAATATCTTATCCCCCCCAAAAAAAACCCTTATCTCACACTGAAAATTTTTTCGAGGTCTAGTGTATCTAGTATTCATTTTCTCCTTTTTAAATTTTTTATGGGTATATGTTTGTAATATGTCCTAGTTACACTTGTTTTGGGGGATTGGCACATGTATACCTTGGCCATTTGCAATTCCTTTATGTGGTTCCCACCAGTTTCCTCTTAAACAGATCCTACCAAAAGGCCCACGGCCACGCCAGTACCACCCTAGAGCAGGAAGGCGAGGAGCAGAAGTAGCAGAGGTCCTAACTGATGGTAACTCAGACATTTACAAATTTCACAAAAGCATGCGCCTGCTTGAACACACTGCTAGGGCTCCTTCCTGGTCCTGGAGGAGGCCGATGGACAGATGGGGACAGCAGGCAACCCCTTGGCCTTCCTGGCATTTAGGAGGCGTGGGGAGGAGGCAGGTCCAGTGGCAGCATAGACTTCCCAGACCCCTGGACTCTCAGCTGTAGTCTAGATATTAAGCTATGCACCCTTGTTCTGAGGTTGCAAGCTTGTAAGGCCAAAAGGCATATCGATGACACAAGAATGGGCAAGTCTGGGAAGGTCGGTGGCTCCACCCTCCGGAGTTCCTGCATGATTGCCCAGCACAGACCTGCCTAATTGCTTAGGAGGTGGAATCAGGCACTCAGGCAGTAGCGAAAGACAAGACGAGTGGATTCTGTTACTGTGGTGGCTGCTACTCTTGGCTGATTTGTGACTTAAGGTAGATCATTTCATCTCTGGGTGTTGATTTCAACACTAACAAAATGAAAACAACAGGAATCACCTGTCTGTGGGTAGTACTGACCTCGTCTCATGCCAGGGACTCACAGGGCCTTGAATGGAGGCTGCGTGAGTGAAGGGGCCTGAAGCTTATGCCTGGTTTGCTTCCGGGCAAATGTGCCTTGTCTCAGGGCCTTCTGTGTAATATTTTTCTGGCTTTCTTTTTTCCTGACTGGTTTAAATCTTTATTGTTTAAAAACTATACCCAGTTTTCTGAAATTACTATTTATTGAGTGCTTGCTTTATGCCAGTCACGTGTGGGCATTCAGTTTCTCTCTATTAGGATCACCTGGAAACATTTTCTTTGTGTCCGTTTTGAAGTACTGGAGTGAACTCAGGGCCTTGCCCTGAGCTATGTCCCTGGTCCTTTTTTCATTTTTTGTTTTGAGACCAAGTCTCTAAATTGCCCAGGCTGGACTCAAATTGGGCTCCTCCTGCCTCAGCCTCCCAAGTAGCTGGAAATACAGGTGGCTTTAACTTCTTAAATCCTTACACAAGCCAGAGCAACAGTTCTTACTATCCACATATATGAATAAGCCAGTGTTCAGAGAGGTTACATTTCTTGCTCAAGGTTAAATCAGAGTCATCTTTCACATCCAGATTGGTCTGATTTCACAGGCCACTTTGCTGTATGTTCAACCATTTAGGCCTTTATAGGAAAGAAAAACCTGGGGCTAGCCAGATATCTCAGCAGACTAAATGCCTGTGTAGGCAGAGTACAGCAGGCCCAGGTCTGATCCCCAGCCTGCTGTGTTGGCCCCACTCCCAGGCTGAGAAGGCCGTTGAGACTGGGCGTGGTGGTGCGCACCTATAGTCCCAGCACTTGGGAGGCTGAAAACAGGAGGATCACTATGAATTGGATCTATGTAGTGAGACCTATAGACCTTTTATCCACTGTACTAAGTGTAAAAGAAAAAGGAAAAAAAAAAGCCTTTCAGAGTCAACTTTTGCAGCTGGAAAAATGCAGTGAATGAAACTAGACAGAAATATATCCATGGAGCAGGACATTGTATTTCCATGGCTTTGATAACTGAAGTTGACAGGGAAAGGGTTGTGAATGCGTCTGTGATGGAGCTCCGGACACACTGGCAGAGTTCTTGGGAGGCCTTAAGTGGAAATAAAACTCAAACTTTTTTCTGGAAAATTCTGAAATTTCTTTCTTTCTTTCTTTTTGTATTTTGGGGAAGGGTCTACAGGGTATTCAGGGTCTCACTACTAGATTGGACTCATAGTGATCCACCTGTTTACAGCCTCCCAAGAGCTGGGATTACAGACATGTGCCACCACGCCCAGTCTCAATTGCTGTCTCAGCATATGGGGGGAGGGGCAGGGATGGGGGGATTGAACCCC